TTCTACTTTACTACTTCTTTTTTTAAATTTCTCTCTCCTTTATTTCTTGTTTATTTTAGTCTTCATGTCTGGCACTCTTCGTTGACAGGTACCTGCGATGTTACATTAACATAGTTATATCACATGTCATCCGTTTTCGACTTTTGTTAAATTAAAACTTGGCGGATATTTATTCATTGTGCCCTTGCGAGCACTGCGAACTTTACGCGTGCGTCATGCGTGAACGTCACGCGGCCTACCTCTGAGCGCGTGCCACAGACTCTTACAAGTGGGTCTTTTATCTCTCCATACCACTGCTGGAAGCCAAAGCTCGAGGACGCAGATTCTCATCTGCCACACATCCGTGCAGCAAACACAGCACATCGGCCATATCTCATTCCTGACGCGTCCCGTATCGTACGCTGATCATCTCAATCACATTACTTGTTCCTGTTGCTCGTGGCTGAATCATTCGTCAAAGCGTCACGAAGCTTTCAGCCTGTGACAGTCGGCCTTGATCTCAGAGCTGAAGCCATATTTTAAAATTGAAATAAATACAAATCAAAAAACATCATTTTACCAACATGTGAGAGAATATTTGGTGACTGATTTAATATTTGATGACTGATTTAAGTCCATCTCAGCTGTAACTTGCTGACAAACTGCAGCATATTAAAACTTTTTTTTCCTATAAACCCTCAATAAGAAAATGAAGTGTAAACTTACACTGTATGTATATATTACCAGATAGATCAGTGCTCATTGAATCAGAGTCACTTGTCGCGATCCAGCTACCATCCTAGGTCTGTCCTGCCACGCGGAAAGGCACACACTCTCACGCGACTCGTGCGAGAGCGATAATCCGAAATACAGATCACAGATATCCGAGCACCGAGTGAGCGCGCACTCTCAGTACTTCATATCCTACGCAAGCACCTGTATGCTCCACAACGCTCATCTCCCAAATGCGCACAATCCGCTCACTCGCCCTTTATAGCGGCATCACCTACTAAACGTCCTAACGTGCGCAGCTCGACTACCTGAGCGTCCACCTGACCATGTCTCTCTCAGCACCACTGTTCTACAACAACTCGCCACAACCATACCCGACAGCGCTCAGATGCTATGATCAGAACATCTCAGATGCTCCACACTCTATAGCGCGTAGGCCCATAACGCATCTCATAACCACTGCCTCTCCTGAGCCTCTCGAGACAGTGCTTCACTACTAGCAGCCGATACTCACATATCGCGATCGCCACGCACCGATCATACAGCTACCAGTAAGACCTTCCACGATGTCACATCTTCACGCCGTTCCACCCGCTCACCATCCCTTCCCACCGCGCCTCAGTGTATCTGACCTCATCGCCCATCCTGCACACCTCTTCCTCCACACAACACACCTGATGTGCATGCGAAACCCACCAAGCAACCGGCACCTGAGGGGGGGCTCGGACACACGCCCTGACCCACGAGTCCATAACCACCCGTTTACGTTGTAACTCACCCTACCAGCGGCTCGGTGTCCAGAGTCTACGCCGAACGGACCAAGCAACCCACCCACGACCACAGACCTGCAGCCGGCACACGTGCCTGGATACCAGTCAGTACGACCTCTCTTACACTCCAGCGTAGATAATCACTGTGTTCCAGATACATACAACCAGATGCATGACGAACAGATTCGCATCGCTATCATACAACCTCGAATGAACCGCACTAGTCATCGTGCTCCAGAATCAGAACTCGACGACGGCTGCGCTGCCTGACCGAACCAGATCCAAACGAACTACGACGACACACGTACACTAGAGCATAACACTTCCTGGCGGATATTCGACTCCCTGGCAATCCAGTATTCCAAAGATCCTTCGACACGGCTGCCGAGTTTCCCCTACAGGACTCTCCGATCCACCGCTCCAGCACTGGTACTGACTTGACCTGCTGCCGGTCTTGTATCGCAAACACTGTCCGAATGAAGAATACATACTCTTTCAGACCGTGCTGCCTGCCTAAAACATGTGTACCGTGGTGATCCGTGTACCAACGCCAGCTAGACCAATATCATATCGCGTACACAGAGGCGATGCCATAAGCTAACAGAGATCACATTGAGTCTGGACCAAGCCACCAGACAGACAAACCTCAGATTCACATTTAGCCAAAATTCTTTTTCAAACGCGACATCTTCATTCCTTAGCGTCTTCTTGCCTCTAACTATAAGTGAAAACCGCAAGCATACAACGCAGACCGACCCGACCCGTCGAAACATCAGACAAAACCACCTCCGCCAGTCCACACCCAACATCCAGATCGTATCGACGCACTAACTCTCAGAATCTCCCAGTCCTCTGCTCGGCGTCTTCCAAGCCGCAAACATGCAGAAAACAGTGTAAACCATATCGGCTTAACGGAGTATCAGAACTGAACCACAGCTGCGATGCTGTTCTGCTGCTGAGTTGTAAGTGGAAACACACCACCGCGATACCGCAGCAGCACAAATAAGACCTTCTCAGCGCCGTATTGGGGTTGCCTTCCATAGGCGTCAAGATCGCCCACGCCTCTGTCTGATTATGCTACCCAGTAACGCGTCATATCCTGCGCCGCCGCCACGTTGGTCATTGACCACTGACCATCACGTCCATAATTCTCACGCCTGCCACTCTTCATTATATTATGATTATCTATATGGCATTAGCTGGGAGTCTAGGGGCGGAGTCAGACACCGGCTGGCAGCAGCTCACTCTGAGCTTCAAGAACCTTGCTGGGTGACGTCACAGAGGCGACGTCCCATCTTTATTTACCGTGCTGTAGTTTCCCTGTTGATGGTGGAAGTGTTTAATGAGCTGAAACATGACGGACACCACTTGTGGCTGTTGTGGTTTAATGACAGGACTGTACACACACTGCTTAAACCGTCAGACAGCATCCTCTACAGCACACTCACGTCTCACCGTTTTACATCAAAACAGAATGTTAAACATCACATAGACAGGTTCACAAAACCTGACTCTAGTCAATCGATACTGACAGTGCACATAGCACACCGTCGCTACAGCCATCACCTGTCAACTCCCAACCAACTCAAATAATAACTATCAATATCCATACAAAATACAACTACTAATAACCCTTTCTACAGTCGCAATGATGCGTCTCGCTCAGTTCAGTCCTGAGGTTTCAGAAAAAACTCTCTTTGTGTTTGTTTCTTTCCACGTTCTGGTTCAGCGTCTCCTCTTCCAGCGCCGCTCTCGTCGCGCTTCTTCACAAACTTCTTCTTCATGCTTCCAACTAAACTCTCGTACCTGCGGAAAACATTAAAGACACAGCAAGTGAGAAATATTCCAACTAAATCCTTCGTGATCCTCAGCTGCTGACTGACGGGTTCGACTTTCCTTTTTTTAGAGAGAGAATTCACGAGCTGCTTCAGACGATTGCACCTGTCAGCATTATATAAAACTTATAGTCAGAGATATTTCATACAGCTGCTGTAGGTTTTAGCATCAAAGCAGAAGTTAAAGTTCTCATCAGGCTGAAAATGGAGCTTTTATTATAAGATCAACTAACTTCCTAAAAATCCTTATTTTCTTATAAGTGAAGAACAAAATGTGTCACTAAAGTAAAGATGGTTTTTTTAAAATCATGTTTAATAAATCTTCGTTACCGAGTGTCTCAAGAATTATCAGAATAAAATTAACTTTAAAAATAATCAAAACTAATTGATTTCCATTTAAAAACATGTTGACATTTTCTGAAACACTGGCAGATTTAAAAATCTATAATAATCAATCACAATTAGTTTCTTCATTATATCTTCTTTTATATATCTCAAGGTATTAATAAATGTGGAGCAGTAAAAGTATAAAAACTACACTAGTAGTTTAGTAAATGAACTTATTGTTTTTCTAACTGGATCAAAGTTTCATCCTGTTATAAAATCCTTTTATAATTTAATAAATGTCCCTCCAATGGGACCCGTCTGTCTCCGTCTATACTCAGAGCCATTTTCTTCTCATCCGGTGATGTCCCGTCTGCATCCTGCTCATCTTTGCCTCCCTTCCTCGTTCTCCTCTTCCTCTTTCTGGATTCAGGAGAAGCCATCAGTTTCTGAGACCGAGCAAAAAAAACATTTTAAAATTTAATGAAATGCTGTGATTTTTATTTTCATTAATTTCCTATTTGTCACTTCATCTGTAGACGAAGCTTCAATCTTGTCTCCAGTGGTAACACAGTCATCCAATACACAGTCCGAGCGATCAAATACCTGGTCCAATTATATATCCTGACGCTTTTTAACTGCTGCAGGTTTCCAACAAACTGAATTCAGATTCCAAGAGATTTCCTGATTTGTCCCAAATGATTAATTCTCCCTCCCAGCTGAGGTCAACATTGATTCCTCGGCCTCCTTTCAGCTGATGAGCGTGAAAACTGAATCAGGAGGATAGAAAGAACGTGGTTTCTGCTCGTTATTTGTTGAGACACGTTCACTTTCACAGTAAAAACTGAGTGAAATTAAACTTTATCCAGATAAATGTTGAGTAACAAGCAGCAGTGCTAAGTTTCAGACAAGAAGAATTCAAACTGAGACAACCTCCACTCTTGGATTAAAACCTTGAACGACATGCGACCGTAGTTCAGGTTCTTCACAGGGAACGGAAACTCCTCTCCTCTAGACATAGGTTCCTGTGGGGGGAGCGGGTTAATGGAGTTGGCACAGCACTTCTCTGTTGAGGACTGTACTGTTACTGTATGTGTAACATCACTCTTTAAGTTTTCAGTTCAAGGCAGGTCCAACAGGTACCAGTTGCCTCATCACTTATTATCCTCTTCTCGTCTTCTCCCAGCTGCTTTCTTTGTGCTCAGCAATCCAGACCTCCTTCTGATGAACTGTGGCGAAAGATCTTTCAACTTTATTTTATCATCAATGAACCGCGTGCAGCAGGTTGGAAAAAACCATCAGCGGTCCCTGAAAGGTTTGGACCTTACAACAAAACTGATCATCATCGTGTGATAGTCTTTCCACCAGGTTCGGCGTGAGACGTGTCAGTGGACGCTGTTTGTTGACCGTTCATGCGTTGTAGCCTAAGTATCCTTCTCTCTCTTTTAAAGAACAAAAAAGGAAAAGCTACAGACACAAACAGACACCAATACAGACACAGACACTAACACAGACACAAACGCAAATACAAACAAACACAGACACAAACACAGACACTAACAGATAGATACTAACACAGACACTAACACAGACACAAATACAGACACAAACAAATACAGACACAGACACAGACACAAACGCAAATACAAACAGATACAAACACAGACACTAACACAGATAGATACTAACACAGACAAACACAGACACAAACACTAACAAAAACGCAAATACAAACAGACACAGACACAAACAGACACAAACACAGAAACTAACAGATAGATACTAACACAGACACTAACACACACACTAACACAAACAGACAGAAACACAAACGCAAATACAAACCTCGGCTCAGTTCAAAGCCACAAACTCAAAGACAGGATCAGTTTTACTGTGGATCTCCATCAGCTCTCTGTGTCTTCTATAAACTCTGTCAGGTGATAAACACCTGGATGATGTCATTCAGTGAAGTCCCACCTACTTGTTCTGAAGCCTGCAGGTTGGATCACGGACACTTTGACCCCCCACACTGATAACTCCATCCTCAGCACCTCAGAGAAAACCCTTAGAGCCGCTTTAGACGCTCCGTAAGAAGCAAACAGAGGCATCGGTACCTCACCTGCAGGAGAACCAGGGTCACAACCACCACACTGTTAACACCAGACCGTACACCGTCACTGTTTATACACATCACTCTGTTCATACATCGTTACTGTTAAAAGATCGTTACTCCGTTAATACACCATCACTCTGTTAATACCAGACTATACACCATCACTCTGTTAAAACACCGTCAGTCTGTCAACACTGTCACAGGTAAAGTTGTACAGGTAGTTCTTACTCCACCTGAGACCTTCTGTAACCTGGTGATTTGTGGGTTCCGGTGGGGGACGTTACCTGCCATGCTGGACACATTGACGATGCGTCCTCTGGAGCATCTCAGGAGAGGGAGGAAGACCTGACACATGTTGACAGCTGACAGGAAGTTGACCTCCATACAGCGTCTGCATGCCACCATGGGCTGGAGCTCTGCATCCGCCGGGCAGTGAAGGATCCCTGCGTTATTCACCAGACCCCACAGACCTGCAGGGGCAGCATGGTTACCATGGTTGCCAGTTTACAGCTAATGTTGGTTATTGACTCAAACTGGATGAGACCAGATGAAGAGACCACAGGCCAGTTGCACAAAACACCTTAAGTTAAGATTTCCTTAAGATAAAAACAGTTGCAGAAAACACCCTTAAGTCCTCTCCTTAAGGTTTCCTTAAAGTGTTCCCCTAAGTAATTCAGGTTTTCTCATTATCTTAGTCTACTTAAGGAATCACTTAAAGTCAGTTAAGCTGTTGCACAAAAAACCTTAGAGACCAAACTAAGGGAAAAACTAAAGGTAAATCTCAGGAGAGTGTACTAATGGCATGTAATCAACAGTATCCATGGAAACAGTCTCATTTTTCTGCTGTAAAATTTCTTTCACTGCTGTAAAATGTCTTAGCTTTTTTTCCTTAACTAAGGAAACCCTTCAAGAGATTCTGTGCAACAGCCTTAAGTAACTCCCTCAGCTAAGGAGAGGAGGGTCAGGTGGGTGAGGAGCAGCTCAGACTCACCTGTGTGTCCCACCTGAGTGCAGATGTACCTGTGAACCGTCTCTACCTGGGTGCTGTCGGTCACGTCCAGCTGCAGCACCTGCAGGTTCTCAGATCCTCGCTCTCTGAGTCGCTGAGCTCCGCCTCCGTTCACATCCAGCATACCTGCAAACACCTGCACCCCCATCTCACTGAGCTGCTCCGCAAGGGCGTGGCCAAAACCAGAGTCACACCCTGAGAGGAACCAACAATCATGACATCACAACATGATTACATCACATCACAACATCATGACATCACAACACAACATCATTTCATCATGACATCATGACACCACAACTTCATTTCATTATGACATCACAACATCATGACATCACATCACAACATCATGACATCACAACATCATTTCATCATGACATCACATCATTTCATCATGACATCACATCATCTCACCATGACATCATGACATCACATCACATCATTTCATCATCACATCATGACATCACATCACAACATCATCTCACCATGACATCATGACATCACATCACATCATTTCATCATGACATCACAACTTCATTTCATCATGACATCACAACTTCATCACATCACATCTTCATTTCATCATGACATCACAACATCATGACACGACCAGTGTCACGACCATGTTTTACCTGCAGGTTGAAGGTTCTGATGTCATTACTGAACTTACACCAACAGAACAGAAACATTATCAGATGTTACATCAGTTCAGACCCAGGCGCTTTATCCAAGCAGATCTGGAGTCTATGAAGAAACATCTGTTCTTATTTTCCAGATGTGGTGACTGAGGATCCTGGAGACCTTCAGTCCTGGTTTGGTGGTGTCTGTGAGGGGACGACAGCCTGGCTCAGGGGTTAAAGGTCACTGAGGATGTGTCTGGTCTGGACAGTCCCTGAGAACACGCCCTGGTATGATGTCAGGACCTGCAGAGGTCTGCTGGGTCGAGACTCAGGACATGGATCATGGACCTCACAGATTCAGAGTCCAGTTTCAGGTCTTGTTTCTGTTTTAATGAGTCATAGTATCGTCAGCTGTTTGATCACATGTTGTAAAGAGACAGTCACTTATCTCCTCTTCAAACATGGAGTCTTTATCAAAAGATCTTTATCAAAGATCTTCAGCTCCGTCCTGTTTTTCCTGTCAGAGCCGTTCAGAGACGTCAACGTGTCTCCAACAACAACGACAACAACAACAACGACAACAACAACACGTTCATGCAGTTACATTAGAAAGTGCTGAAATGGAATAAACCACAACACACTGTAAACATATTTTCTCTGATAACTCTGGAACAACATAGAAACATAAAGGAGTTTGACTGTAACTGTTTTTATTAGGAAGTGATTTCTGTATTTCTGCTGTTTGGTTTGTTTTCTTCATGTGATCTCAGCGTCCTGTACGAGCACAGAGGAGCTCACTTCTCTGAACCAACCAATCCAACTGGAGTTTGAAATATTTTTGATCCATTTTTTATAAAATTTATGATCCAGAAAAATCATATTTGGATGACAGATGAAGAGACGCCTCTTCTTCTTAGTGGAGTAAACACAGTGAAGTCTGTGCAGCTAACGTCTACACAATGATTTAAAGTGATCAGAGATGGTGACTCACTGACAGAGACCAAGCAGACTGTTAGCACAGCTGCTGCTGATGCACCAAAATAAAATCCAACATTTACTCTGACACGATCCACTCAGCTGTTCACTGTCTGTCTGGATCTGGTTTCACTTGGTGACAAACAAATAACAGAAGAAGAAGAAGCTCATGTATCCTATTCATCTGCTGGGACTCAGGTTAGCATCAACGCTAACACCTGGAGTGTGTGTCTCAGCGTTTGTGTGTCCCAGTGTTTGTGTGTCTGTGTGTGTGTGTTTGTGTGTCTCAGCGTTTGTGTGTCCCAGTGTTTGTGTGTCTCAGCGTTTGTGTGTCTGTGTGTGTGTGTGTCTCAGTGTGTGTGTTTGTGTGTCTCAGTGTGTGTGTGTATGTGTGTCTCAGTGTGTGTGTTTGTGTGTCTCAGTGTGTGTGTGTATGTGTGTCTCAGTGTGTGTGTTTGTGTGTCTCAGTGTGTGCATCTCACCTGTGATCAGCACCGCTCTGCTCTTCGCTGGCAGCAGCTCATTTCTCCTGCTCACACAGATCAGATGGAGGCTGCAGGTGAGGAGGACCCCCCCACACAGAACTGGAGAAACAGTGAAACACAGAGAAGCCCCCAGGGCCCCGACCAGTGCCCCCAGCCTGCACCCAGCATGGCAGTCCTGTCTGTACCTCCAGAGTAGAGTGAGGACGTAGAGAGCTGCAGCTCCGACGCTGAAGCAGCAGCAAACCTCCATCCTCTGACACCGAACCACCTCCACCCACGGATACCATCACACAGGCCACGCCCCCTCCCAGCCACCTGCACACAGGTATGTCAGCCTCCTCTGAAACCTGTTGGTCGTGACAGTTGACACAGTGACTGCACCTGCCCTGCCCCCCCCCCCAGATACAGATCACTCACACACCTGCGTCAGTTTCACTGTTTCCAGATCAGTGACTTTAAACTTCAGCAGAAAATAAAACCTGGTTTCTACGGTCTCTTTGATGTCACTGTGTTTTATTCATATTTATATATTATATTTACATATTTATATTTATACTAATATTAACATTCATATTAATATTCATATATATTTATATTCTGTATCTCAGAAAAAGAATCAGTTATGTCTAAATTTATAAAAATATAATAAAAATATGCAACAATGATAAAAATAAAATAATAAAAGTCATTTGTAACTTTCAGAAAAAGATTTACTCTGAACTTTTCATGTTATTTTGTTTTTTGCCAACTGATGATTAGGACTCAAACTAATCAATTAATGAGCTAATGATTGATTCATTATCTATTGATTTGTCAGTTACTATGACAAATAAAAGAAACTGTTTGGCTTCAATAAATAACTTCTGATTATCAATTATCACAATTATTGTCAGCTGATGTTTTGTTAACTGTGTGTGTGTGTGTATGTGTGTGTGTGTGTATGGAGGAGCAGCTGATTGGTCCACTGTCTACCCGCTCTCACTGATGAGTTGGTTAGTTAGTTAGTTAGTTGGTTAGGCCGTTCACCCTGAAGCCAAATCTCTTTACAATGTGTTTTAACTTCAACATCAATCAGTGAATTCATCAAACATGTTCTGATAATCAACTAATCAATTAATAATAATAATGATAATCAAATCAAACCTTTGATGATTTTCTTTATGAAACTAAACTGAATATTTTAGGTTTTGAACATACACTTATGGAAATATATTTGATTGTTTCTGACATCTTCTGGACAAAATGATCAATCACGTCGATGATCAGCAGATGAACTGATAGAGATCAATAACAGAGGCGATGGTTTCCTCTCATCACATTCGTCATCTCTGCACAATCAAAACAACACAAAACAATTCAGTGACAAACAGGGCTTTTATTTTGAAGTCAGTGCTGACTGTGATAAAGAGGGGGGGTTGGGGGTGTGTTGTTGTCACCTACAGTAACACCTGCACAGGTCACAGCGACTCGACCCGTCCTCTCAGATTAATTGCCTTTTCAAGTGAAACACGTTGACAAACATAAAGTGCTCGTTCCCGCAGCTCGGACACGATTCAGCCAATGAGAGAGGACTACAGGGGCGGGTGGGGGTGGGTCCAGCAGAGGAGCAGGAGGAGGAGTCAGGACTCAGGCGAAGTTCTTCTTCAGGAAGTTGATGAGGCCGTTGGTGGACGAGTCGTGGGAGGTGACCTCCGAGGCGTCCTGCAGCTCCGGCTCGATCTTCTTCGCCAGCTGCTTCCCCAGCTCCACCCTGTCAGCAGGGAACAGGTCAGTTCTGGACCAGGTCTACTGGACCAGGACCAGGACCTGGACCAGGACCAGGTCTACAGGACCCGCAGGTCTGAGCTAAGACCTCAAACAAGGTCCAGGTCTCTGTTCTTCAGTCACAAACTATTTTAAACCAACTCTGACTTTTTAAGACTCTACACTTCCTGAACATTTTTCACATTAAAAGCCTCCAAATAACAGGAAGCCTGGAATGCTTGTAATGTGAAAAACTCACAGGAAGTGTTGAGTCTCAGTGGCAGCAGATTAAAATGGAGAAGTGAGTCACATGACTGGAAATCAACATTAGACTGACAACAACAAGAATAACAATAATAATAATGATAATAATGATAATTATAATAATAATAGTCACTGTTACCATAGCTTTAACAAAAAGTTTTAGAAGTCCACTTCTGTTTTTAGAGTCTAAAAAAATTAAAACTCAAGGCCCACTTACTAACTTTATCTGCAGCTTTCATCTAGATAGATAAAAGATGAGGGACTTTTAACATCTGTACAGGTGTGTGTGTGTGTGTGTGTGTGTGTGTGTGTGTGTGTGTGTGTGTGTGTGTGTGTGTCTCACCCCCACTGGTCGTAGCTGTTGATGTTCCACATGACGCCCTGAACAAAGATCTTGTGTTCGTACATGGCTGAAAAATAAAAATAAATGTAAATAAAACTCAGTGGATGAATCAGAGAAAAGTTTCTGTGATGGAAGAAAACTGGTTTTAACGGCACCATTTAACTAAACATCTGGCCCAGACAGATGTGCATGTGTTGATTTCCTGCTGTACGTTAGTGTTTGATCTTATTGTGACAAACATCAAACATCATCATCACACAGCTGCTTGTGTCAGGTAGGTCCACCTGTCTCACACCTGTCTGTTCCTCTGACTCTGTTCCTGGACTGTAAACCTGAACTGAGGTCAAACCAAACAGGAAGTGAAGTCATGTGACTTGTGTGGAGGCGCTGTGCTGCCTTCTAGTGGCCGTCAGACGACACGTCTGTCTGTAAACTCAGCTGACTACGGAGGTCTCTGCACTCTTCTTCTATGGTGTGCTCCCAGTACTCACCGACCAGAGCTCCCAGTATGAACGGAGTCAGCTTCTTAAAAACGATGGAGTTGCTCGGCTTGTTTCCCTGGAAGACCTGGAGACAGGAAGAGAGACCAGAGGACGAGTTCTGGGTCATTTCCTCTCTGTGAAGGTTAATTCAGTGTTTCTCTAACGACCAAAACTTTGATGCACCTGCTGAGTGATGCACCTGCTGAGTGACGCTGTAAAGAGCCAAACTCTACAGCAGATTTACCTTGTGAGGCAGCAGCTTCTCCAGAGCATCCCCCTTCAGGCCGCCGGCCTCCAGCTCCTTACGAGCCTCGTCCGAAGTCTTTCCCTTCATCAGAGCTTCTGTCTGAGCCAGGAAGTTCGCCACCAGGATCTGAAACAGAGTCAGCCAATCAGCATCCAGGAAACTGAACTGTGATCAGATTAATCCTATAATCAGACAGGAAGTGTGATGGAGAGACAAATTAAACATTTGTCTTTTTTTTCTAGGATCAATTGGCTAAAAGACTTTTTCTCTTGCCTTTCAGGGCAAATAAAAATCAAACAAAGATGGCGGCTGCAGGAGTCTCAAACCTGTGTCAGTACAACATTTGGACAGGGTGGTCCAGTGGGCGTTACCTTGTGGTGGAGGTTGTCTCTGATTGGATGCTGAGACTGGGCAGGAATGAGGAAGTCAGCAGGAATCATACGAGTACCTGAGAGGAGAGAAGAAGTCCGTTAACCCTTCACTGACCAGATCATTAGTGTCCTCAGGGGGAGGAGTCTGACTAAAACCAGGAAGTGTCCAGCAGGGGGCAGCAGTCAGTGAGAGTCAGGTCTGCACGCTCATCACTGTGGTTTAATTAATTCAAGATTAAAATAGAGTCTGAGGGCAGAGAGCATCTGGAGAGGAGTCAACTACGACTCCCAAGGTGCATTTCACTGACAAACAGCCAATCACAGAGCCTCAAATCATCAGTCAGCTGAGATTAAAGATTCACCTGTGGAGACAGATTTTATCATACGACGCATTTCTCGTCTCTGTGGATGGCGGCAGAGCTGTGTGTGTGTGTGTGTGTGTGTGTGTGTGTGTTAGGGTGTGTGTGTGAGGGTGTGAGTGTGTGAGTGTGTGTGTGTGTGTGAGGGTGTGTGTGAGGGTGTGTGAGAGTGTGTGTGAGGGTGTGTGAGAGTGTGTGTGTGAGGGTGTGTGTGAGGGTGTGTGTGTGAGGGTGTGTGTGAGGGTGTGTGTGAGGGTGTGTGTGAGGGTGTGTGAGGGTGTGTGTGAGAGTGTGTGAGAGTGTGTGTGAGGGTGTGTGTGAGGGTGTGTGTGTGAGAGTGTGTGTGAGGGTGTGTGAGGGTGTGTGTGTGAGGGTGTGTGTGAGGGTGTGTGTGTGAGAGTGTGTGTGAGGGTGTGTG